ACTGTTGTTGTGTTTTGGTGCTGTATAAATAAAATTGAATTAAAGCTGGTACATGGTTAGTTCGGCCTCAAACCAGTCTGGGTGGGACGAGGCTCACCACCAGGTGATCTCAGCAGAGCGTCTCTGTCAGAGCAGTGCTTGGTGTTTTGGAGATACTGTGACTGAAAGTCAATAGTTAAATTTATATTTTCTGAAATCTTTGAAGGTAAAAAAGTTTTACTTAAAAACAAATAGTCTAAGGAGTTTGGAAAGAAAAGCGTCTGGACTTCTTTAAGTTGCTTGAAGACGTTTCACCTTCATTTGAGAAGCTTCTTCAGTTCTAAGGTCAAATGGTGGAGAGTCCCAGATATATACCTAGTGGGAGTTTCCCCCCACAGAGGGACAAAAGGACCCCCTGATGATCCTCTAATCACCTGAGCCAAGGTGTGGAACTGGGTGTGGGTCCCAATCAGTCCCAATCTGGGACTCTCCACCATTTGACCTTAGAACTGAAGAAGCTTCTCAGATGAGAGGTGAAACGTCTTCAAGCAACTTAAAGAAGTCCAGACGCTTTTCTTTCCAAACTCCTTAGACTACAATGACCTGGATGACTGAGAACCTTCACAGACTTAAAAACAAAAACTAATACTAACCCTTCCAAAGACTACTTCCCTTTTTCTGCATCTTTCAACACTTTATTTCAGCATTTTCTGAGCTTTTTCTTTACTGGTTTTCAACTTTCACTTGCTGGTCAATAAGATCACAGTAAGGTCTACTCGGCATCTCTCTTGAAACCATCACCCCCCTCTCACCCCTCACCCACAATTTCCCCAGCACCTCCTTAAAGTGCTAAAGCAGCAATAAAACTGTAACACTCAGCTGCTTTTTGCTCGATGCAAAAGCCTCTTTCACATTTCCTTTACTCCTCTTTGACATGAGGATGGAGAGCAAGTGTCACCTTCTGTCAGTTAAAAAAAGTTGAGACTGAAGTTGATATTTTGAACTTTGACACAATCTGATTTGATCTGAGTAAGGCTTGTTGTGGGATCAACGTGGTGCTCCATTGGTAGTGCGTTTCAGGACCTTAGGGAGCAAATGATAGCCCGTCTAACTGCAGAGAGCATCTCCTGCCAAATGGAGGCAGTGTCCAAAGTGTGTGGTCCAACTGGTGCTGTCTGGGAGGGGCATGACAATCCTTTACCTGGTCTGGGCCATTTGTAAGCCAATCAGCATTTGACCTACGCCCAGCTGAGCTAAATGCTGTTGGGAGGACTGCAGGTAGCACATTTACTTGGTTGAAAACCTGTCATTGGACACAGCCATGAAACAAGCATCTATGTGTTTGTGAATGTTCTTACCTGGCCACAAGCTTCTCTGCAAGGTGAGAATTCGGCAGCATGGTGGCAACAGGAGGGATCTGCAGACAGAAGTTAGAGTCAGTTAGAGCATCATCAGTGTTTGGTTCACCCAGAGCTATGGCTCTCACATGATGTCAAGTCACACTGCTGTGGCTGGAGGCAAATCCAGGGATTTTATGGCATTATTTTTCCAACTGTACTGGGGTAACGCCAGCTGAGCCAAGTTAGTTAGCATATTTACTAGGGATGCAACGATACCATTTTTTTCAAACCGATACGATACCGATACTTGGATCTGAGTACTTGCCGATACTGAGTACAAAAACCGATACTTCTACCACACACACACACACACACACAAATACAATTAATTGGAAGACAGGTTTTATTTTATTCCCTGCCGATAAAAAATAAAATCTTAATAAAAATGACCACAAAAATAAAATTTCAAGTGAAAAATAAGCACTTCTGTTAAATTATTGCAGAGTCTCCACATTATAATTTAACAATGGCACTGTCTCGAGCTTTCAGAATAATAAATAAACACTTCTGTTTGGAATAAAATAAATACAAATTAGGTTTGAGAATAAAATAAACTTTTAAATTATTGCAGAGTGTCCATATTGTAAACAAACAAACAAAATAATTATTATTAAATAAATAATAAAATATAAAAAAATTATAAAATAAATAATAAATAAAATAATAATTGGCCCCCTAGTGGCCAATCTAAAAAACTACAACAGATATATTAAAGCCCTAGAATGACACTGAGCAGGTTAATAACAGGGAGAACAGATGATTACACAAACCACCAACCTAAGAAGATAAACTGACAGCACGTGTGAGAGTTACCTGCCTGATAGCTTGAACTGGGATCCCAACAGCACCGAGCCCCAGTGAGGTCTTTGTCAGTACAATTTGCTTAATGCTACGATGGCGCCATCAAGTTAAAGAAGCACTTGGACTGTTAAAACAACAAAACGCAAAGAAAACAAACTCAAAAAACAAAAACTGACCTACTTTGACAAAGAGTCCTGAATTTGAACAAGAAGCTCGACTGTTTGTTGGATTACATGAACGTGGTTGACAGCGGTCTATATTAGTGAAATAGATTCAACTGGATCCACGTGAGACGATGACGTCTTCTGACACTTTCCAATCTCAGAGTGACTTTGCTGCACTAACCTTCATGCTATACAAATACATTAAACTGGTTGGTTGAGATGAAGCAGACACCACTATGCACTGGTGTGAGTATTTAAGTGTGCTTCAGAACTTTTGCTTGGAACTGGTTTCCAGTTGCATCCAACCCTTACATCGCGAAGCCCATCAACGCATCAGGTTCAGTGGAACAAAGCGCGTGGCCACTGTGCTCTCGAGAATAGCAGAGTGACCAATCACCCTTTCCCATCTGGCAATCTGACGTGTGAGTCTGGGTTTGGCAGTTGCTAGGACAACAGTAATGGTCTGTACAGTTTGGTAGCGGGGGGGCGTGGGCTTGACCCACTTAGGTCCAGTAAACGTGCTCTGCAGCGTTTCAGTGCAGATAGCTGATAACACAGAGTGACTTACTGCTTAAGAGAAAGCATGAAAATAGCTCAGTGGAAAAGTCATTGTTGCAGCAGGGCAAGTACAGAGGTGACCCCCCCACCCCCCATAGACTGTGTTTTTGTTTTCACTTAACGTTCTGTCACTAGCTAACACAAACCTATTAGCAACAACCAACAAATCAACCCAGAGACGTCACTGCACAAGATGCTGTTACACATGAAAAACTGCAGCACTTATTTCCTAAATCCTGCTTCATCCACAGTGTTACATCTGTGACAGTCTTTAGGTGTAAGTTAGCTTTAACATCTGTTTCATGCCCACTTCAACCCCTCCAAACCATCAAACACATGAACTCACTGGGAGCAATTTATGTTTCAGTATCTTG